ATTAAGTCCGTTAAATCTCTTATAGAAGTTATACGCTTTTCATACTTAAGGTACTAAGCGATCGGTAAGTTAGTTTAGTATTTATTGACTAATGACTAATGAAAAAAAAAACTTGTCAAGTAAAGTCCCTTAACCACGTGGGGATGAGATTAGTTAGGATTTATCATATTATATCGAAATAGGACGAATTAAACTGGCAACTCCTGTTGTTTAATATCAATAAAACGTAACTCGTGCATTATAAGTAACAGTGTTGCCAATGTTGGTATTAAAAATCTTAACTCCTTGCAATGGAGTGTATTGACTGAATTTGAAAGGGAGCATAGATATGAATTATGAAATATTTATAGTAGCTAGCTAGGCCGATAAATCAATTAAAATTACAAATATTACTGTTTTCCTTAAATAAATATTATAATGTAAATTTGGTAACAACATATTCCTTCATGATTGGAAACATATCACAGTCAACTACACCTTCAAACTATACCATACACAGTGGTGACGTTGTTAGATAATTTGTCAACATGTTTTTAAAGGAGGTTAATTAGTACTAGATTCTGATTCCAAATATTTAAAAACTAAATGACCTTAAAATTTAAACTAAATATAATTTAAAATAATGATGTACGGGCATTATAACCTGACGCAACGACATAAAACGCGAACTAAATAGTAATAAAAAAGGCTTATTGTTAGTACAGTATTTAAGAAAAAACCTGACTGGATTAAATTTTGCTGAAAAGAGAAAAATTGAAATACCCCATGAAAATTTCACAACAAAGATGAATGTAGCAACAGCCAGTTTACCAGCCAACAAGCAGTTTAGGCTACAAAGCGTGCCACAGAAATAGACATACATACAATATGTAGATGCATTCTAAAAATATAACCATCTTTCTGTGACAGTTGGGTAATAATGATAAAGTAACCCGGAATCTGTAGGACGTGCCAGCGTATGTGCTGCTGCGCTGATGTGTGGGAGAAGATGCATCGGTGTGCACACAATCTCATCATGTTACTATGTATAGGTTAGGTATATACGTGTTACGGCTAAAAGCAGAAATGTGATTATACCTAGGTTTAGCCGGCTACAAACGGTTGCAGTCGATAAGGTTGGTTAAATGTAGATGTATTTTAACAAGTAAACATTAGAGCCATCAGCTATTATTTTTAATATTTATCTATATACAAGAATAGCTTGATTAAAGTACAGGATTATAAGTACATAACAACATGGTACAAGTATTTGTCAGTGATGTCTTTAAAAATAATCGAGGGTGTGGTTGACGATGAATTGACTTGACGGGTTAAATAGATTTATTTTCACATTTTTTCGTGACAACTGGTGTCACATAATTTTCGACATTATTGCTTTTAAATTTGAATAATGTTATAGAAAAACAAATATTTTATCGCGAATCATTTTAAGCGTGCATGGATTCTTGTATGCTCCGTTTCAAATTACTTTTAATATGTACAGAATATATTCCAAGGATGTATCAAATTAGCCAATTGTATAGTTATGTCGCCGTATTATCGGAATAATTTCAGCAGTTACAAATACTTATAATGTTATGTATGAATTTCACAGTTATATTATGAATTGGTCGTTTCACACAGTGTTATTTTGTATTAGTTATAAAAACAAAGTTCACTATTCGAGTATAAGCAAGCATAATATAGAAGTGAAATTTAATTTTATTTCTATAATATTGGTGCGTGTTTTGAAAATATCATTTTTGAATAAAAAAAAAATAGAGCAATAGATATAGACTTTTTATTTTTTTACTTGTTACAGGTAATTTTAGTGTCCCGTTACATTCATACATTTGGCTGTGTGAAGCGACTTAAGGTTGTATACGTAAACGGTGAAGCGTTGTGGTGATTTGCCGGTATTTCATTTCCAGGCTCGTGCCTTATGTATGTAGTGTTTTTGTTAATGTTTATTTATTATGTATAATTTTTTTTTAAATCTTGTGATCGTTTTTGTGGTACGCGAGTTTTTAAGTTGACGCGACAACTTGCTGTTAAACATGGACGCAGAGCATCAAATAGAATAGAATAATAATTTTATTGGTTCACGTTCAACATGTATGGTTTAAGCTTTATGTCCGGTGTCTAAACAGATCAGTGTAAGGATGTAGTCGACTTTGTCATGTTTTATCAATTAATGTAACTATAACAACTTCGCGTAAATATGAAGATATTCCATCAGAAATGGGATTTATTGGGCATACAATACTTACTGCAACGGAGTTAAATTCGTTCATATTGTGATTTTTTTTCTTAAGTTTCATTGTATTAACACAGCTTAAGGGTATGAAAAATAATAAAAAAATAATGTAAATATTAGCGAACGAATGGAGGCCTGAACAATATAAATATAGAATATTTTGTCACAATACGTATATTATTGTACAGTTATATATACATATATATTTGTACTTTAATTGTGTAAAGCTTGGTATGGAAAAATTATGTTTGCAGATATTTGAAATGAATTTTTGTAGTCGTGTTTTGTTGAGTTTTGTATAAACATTATGTAGAAGTGTTGCCACTGTAAGTGATACGACGTCCATAATTCTATAACATTGGCTGGTAAACAAAAATATGCCTGTAAAACATGTATCCATTTCATTAGGCTCTATCCATGTAGTTTCCATAGATTGAAAATTTATTCTCGGTAACCTTTTTTGATGTTGAGCAATTTGTATAGGATGTGTTAAGTTTTAGTTTTTTTTAGTAATTTGTAAGGGGCCCAGTCAATTCCCCGCGCGTTAGTATGTTAAGCGTACACTGAATTTGACAACGCTGTCCGCTATTTAATATTGGCTGATAGAAAATCTTAGTGATAAATGTGTGATAATTATCAAAATGCCTTCGCGAGCTAAGTTTCAATTGCTTCGGAAGCAATAATTAATTTTGGAATTGACTAAGTCCCCCACAGATATCAGTGTAAAAAATAACGAGCTCTTGTAGTATAAAAGCAAAGACAGCGTGCGTGTTTTGCGTGATTGTTGCGGGAGAGTTTGTGCGTGTGGAGAGCGGTATGCGTGCAGTTTATTTAAGTCTAGGTCATAGTTAGGCAAAAACTGAACGCGCGGCAGTTAAATAAAAAAAAATCAGTTTTTTTTTCTTTTCCTACGTCGAGGGATCAACGGGGTGATTGCTTCATGTGATATGATAGGTCGCAGTAAGCGGTGAGCTAGTGTGAGAGATGTACCTCGAGTGGGTGTCGGTGGACAACGAATCAGTGCTGTCGGATGTTTAACGCGTCTCGCCTTCGCCTTGATGCTTCCGTTCGGACGGACAAACGAATCCGATAGGTTTGATATAGCGGAGTCACATGTTTCTTTGTGCAAAGTTCTAGACGCGCAATATTTCCTATTGCTTGTATTAAAACCCAATAGTATTCAATTAAAATTTGACTGAAGCACACGTGTGAGCAAATTGACAGCTTCATGTTTGTACTACGGTGTTAAATTTGTGCATATTGGTAGTGTGTATTATTAATAGTTAACAAATTAAGCTTATTTTTAAAAATCATATTAAAGTTATATAAAGTCTGTATGACAAAAGTAAAATATTGATATGTGCCATGGTTCAAGGCGAAGGCGTGGATGCGGAACATGGAAAGAATTGTTGTTGAATCCAAAATATTTCCTAAAATATAAATTTTTATATCTGAATCTTTGTTTTATTTATATACCCGGTGTTGGAGTTATAGTGAGATCTTTGATTACAAAGAGTAGGGTACAACGATTTCAGTACCAGACGTCTCGCAAGCAACTTTGTCCTTGCTTTACATTTTATATAAAGCAAGGACAAAGTTGAACGCCTTCGCCTTGAACCATGCAAGGCGAAGGCGTGGATGCGGAACATGGAAAGAGTTGTTGTTGAATCCAAAATATTTTTTAACTTTGTCCTTGCTCGTTACGTTTTTACTTCTGGGCCTGGGATACACCTGATGGTTATTAATTATACCGATCTGACAGTGGTTCATAGCTAGAGGCCGTTAGGTGGCGCTGTCAAGTTATATCAAACTCCATGCCCACATAGTGCTCAGTACAGAGGTTTTTTCGAACCAGTGGTAAAGTAAAACATGAGTTTCCATAAGAATTACACATGTGATGTAAAAAAAAAGTATTCTACCCAATTATGCAATTGGGTCACCAGTTTTCTCGCTGATCGAAGCATTAAGGTCATAGCCGACAGTGCATGCTCCTACCTTTGAATACTGGTGTTCCACAAGGCTACGTCCTATCGCCTATCCTATTCTCAATATGTTGCAAACCGGTAACATTCATTGTTTCATTCATCAGGCCTACGGGCTCAAGTATAACACAGAAAAGTGATATAGAGGTACTGTTAAATCAAACATTTCATTGAAGTTCACGATTTATTGTTTATTTTATTACATACACCGTTGTTCATTTATAGCAATAAAACAGCGTTTATACAATAAATGTGTAATATTATAAAAATATTTTGGCTTATAACTATTAATGGTAACGTAAGGCAATCACGATATTATTTTTGAGCAAATTTAATTTATCGGCAAGTAACATATTTACAAGGGCAGAAGAAATTTATGCATAAATGCAATATATACACCAAATATTAAAAAAAATGTAGACAAACAATTTTCATTTATTAAAACATATTTTTATTGAAACTAAAAAATAGGAAATGTCACATTTTCGTCGTCTTAAGTTTTGACACAACATAATTTTTTGATAAATGCATTATTTTGTATTTACCGAGCTAATTCATAATGATTTGAAAAAAAAACTTCGGTTTAACAACAAAATTTAACCTTTTATAAACACCAATAAACAAACAATTATTATTAGTTTACATCGCCTATTTACTAACCTTAAAAAGAATATTGCATATCTACTCTCAGATCATAAAATTCAATATTCAGTGCTACCAACATATACCTAATTGAAAGCTATTTACATGCGACCACATTGAGCGTCCGCCAATAATATTAACTACGTTTTATTGTATTTTAATCTGAGGAAACATAGGCCGAGCGTTAGGACGATCCACGCTAACGTGACGAGGAATCCGTTGTAGACGCCCGGCGCTGTGATGGAAGATCCCTTCTCCATGATATCCCTGAGTGACATCGAGGGTATCGTGAAGGGTAGAGTGATCGCGACCGCCTTAAGACCAGCGGACATGCCTTCTAAAGGCCAGACGATGCCTGTGGATAAAAAAGAGTAAAATTACAGCGTATGTCCCACTATTGGGCACAGCACAGGACTCCTTTAAATTCTGAGGTTATGAAGCAATTAGGTCCCCGTTGGCGGTAGTCGCGTCTTCGAAATCTTCAGATAATATGATGTTTTTCTTCACTACGTAGCTGCCACGAAATTGCAACTAACAATTTCATTGGTGCCGGTGGAGATCGTACTTGGGTCACAGATTACTTAATAGTTTACTAAACAGATACATCACTCCCATACAAAAGCGAAAATACCAACGCTATAATAGCCTACAAAATCTTAATAATAATATCTGCTGTTCGCAGCGAGAAGAAAATGTACCATAAGTACGCTTATAAAGAGTCGAGATTGTGTTGACCGCCGTGCGCCTCACGTGCAAGCGCGTCTACGTACTAATGCGCGTAGCGTTGTAACGCTACAACGCTAGGGTTGATGATGATGACCTATGATGATTATTGTAATAAAACGAATCTTGCGAAATAACCATATTTTTTATTTGTTAATCAAATATGTTTGAGTTTTATAAAATGATTTATAAATTTTTTTCCTTCTCCGAATTCTCGGTTATTAAGTCTTATCGTTGAAAATATCCTAAATCGCGTAAATAATTTTAATAAATAATCATGAGGAAAAAAGGAGCAAAGCGGAGGAAAATCAATGGTTTGTAAAATTTGTAACACGCTGCTGCCAGGCCGATTCATTATGGCATTGTTAAAATTATTTAAGACTTATTATATAATTTGGGTGTCCAGGTTGTCACTCAATTTATAAATCACAGCATTATTATGCTGTTGCTTCGATGTAATCTTATAGTTAAGAAAAAAATGACGAATTTTTAATTTGTTTCTTGACTCTGATACCCATCCACTGCACATTAATTACGTGGTTTCGGCATTTCGACGAGTAGGCGCGGGAAACGTGCGCGGTGCAAGCGCCCAGGCTGGCGTGCGGCAGCCCACTGCCACTGCCCAATGTCGGTTGTATCGTGGACGCAGTGTCTCCATGTACACGGTAATTACCGTAGATGCACCGTGACTTGGTCTTAATCTACCGTCAAGGTAATATGGCATTACCGTGTCATATGTCACCGTAATACCATAGTATACCGTAATGTGCTCAAATGCCGAGTGCGAGCGCATTTTCAGCCAAGTCCATGATACAAAAACGAAGAAAAGAAACAAATTTTTAACCAAAACAATAAAAGGAAATATTTTTCACTCAGCAATCAATCAAAAGAAGTAGCAAAAACTGTGTTGATTTCAGGCTCATTAACGTTTGTTAACTACAATGAATAAATATATGTACGAAAAAGATATTGTCATGTTAGCAGAGTCAGATTCAGAATAAAATTGCTTAATTTTGCATGTTTTTTTTTATTTTCTTAGTAAATAATTAAAAGGAATATATTTGGACTTGGTTTGGTTCATAATGTTGTATTTTTCTTCGAAAAGTTACACGGTAATTTACACGGTAAACTTTTAGTAAATGCACCGTAATTTTATCTAGAAACACCGTATTTTTACCCTTGCAACACGGTAACTCTCGATTTACATATGGAGACACTGCGTGGACCATAGATAAAACACTATATACCAGGGAGCGTGGACGATACGCCGAACGGTAGGCATATAACGCAGGGCCTTGAGCGAGTGACGGAGGCCTGCTTGGGTGGATTAACAATTGATCATAACACAAAAATCTTTATACACAAGTTTAAACAGAGAAGCCTGGTCAATGATCCGGACTGCAAAACTACTATTATAAATTGTAAGGTTATTACTTGGGTCAATAGAGCAAAAATACTCTCACCCCACCACCCCATTTTGGAAGTATCTAAAATATAAAGTCGGTAAATGTTTTCTATATTATTTAAAAATGAATTTCTGTATAGGTATTATCATTTAAAAATGAATAAAATAATATAATGTTTTTCTTATACTTATCTCCACCCGAGAAAAGTGCGTGTGCGCAAATTATTTCTATTTTAAAACCTTGTAATCATAGAATTTAACTCTATGCTTGTAATCCTACAGTGTTCTCACTCATCTATACTAATATGATAATCTATACTTTAATATAAGAAAGCGGAAGAGTTTTTTTGTTTTTTTGTTTGTTTAAACGCGCTAATCTCTAATGTCTAATAGCCAGATTCATGTGGAATAGTATAGGCTATCTAGCATTAAGCTATATTACTCAACTAGCCTTAAATATGGATATTTGTTAAGCAAGTCAGAACAAAAAGCACTCCCGAAATGATTTATCCGCGTACGCTGGTGTTATCGTTAGGGATACGTAAATACAATGTTCTAGAAAAATGTAGACCTTTAATCCGTCTAAAAAAAAGTCCGCGATACTATATTATGTCTATTTCTTATACATAAGCCATCATTTGGTATTTTGTGACAAAAAATATTGAAAATTTAAAAGTGATTTATGAGCGTTATTATTAGGCATGGCCTATTTATCCTTACGAACGAAAGTTACTTCATCATCAAGACAATTTTACGCTTAAACCCTAGCCGTTATAAAATGCTTGAACTAGGTCATGTCGCGCACCTCAGACACGTGATGACGCGGGTGAAACCGCGGGGCACAGCTAGTTATCCATAAGAAAGCAGCCTAACGCTTTTGTGTTTTGTTTGGAAAATGTAGAGAACTGGAGATCCTTTTTACTGGTAACGAGGCATTCCATCCTAGTTACTCAAGGGTGACATGAATCTGCATTTCGGATACTTACTTTTTACTTTGAGGACTATTAGACACTGCATCCACTTACCATCAGGTGGACTTAAACTGTGTGCTCCTTTGTTACCTTTATTAAAATACCCTTTTTATAAAATTGAGGAAGCAAATGAACTTACAGTCTACTATACTCGTATATTAATGGACTACTGCAGTCCATGGACACCTGCAGCCAACTTCAAGGAAGGAAGACTACAGATGCGTTATTACCCCTTAAGACTAAGATGGAATGCCTGACAACCTGTGATTGTACTGGCTGTGATTGTACTGGCGCTCCATACCTCTCAGACCAGAACACTGCTGCTGCTGTTTGGCGACAGAAATAATGCTACTATGAAAAATCTTTAAAGGAAAAAAAACGTATTAGTTACAGCGCCATCTCTCGGAAGCCATGAGATTCTTCTGGTATATCCCTCAGTCGTTTTTTACGACACCCACGGAACAAAATGGAGTAATGGATTCTCCTATGCGGCCGTCGCTTGGCAAATGCTAAATTTAAGAGGAGATAATTTTTAAATACTAACCAGAGAGCAAAATCATTGGATAAAAGCTGCCTGTAGATATAAAGAAAGACAAAGTGTAGCTCGAGCAGAGTACGGAAAGCAGGAAGCCGTAGCACATGCCACTCAGGCCTTGCAGGAATAGGAGAGCCCCGCATGTAAATAACGATCCCTTCGACGGAAGGCTGTATCCTAGGTATGCAAGTGCCATCATTTCCAGCGTCTGTGAAAGGAGTAAATATTATTTAAAACAAAGAATCAGAAAGTTTTTGGTAGAAAATGGTAGTTGGTATTTTATTGATACTTTAATTTTTTTTTATTTCTCAGATTTGCAGTAGGTTTCCCCGCTATGTTTTCCTTCACCGCCGAGCATGTGGTAAATCAGCACTTAAAATTGTAAATAACAATTTCATTGGTGCCAGCGGGGATCGAACCTGGGTTGCTCGCGTACTGTGAAATTTACAGCGAGTGCTAAGCCCCTGAGCTACCACGACTCTATTGGGAAGTAAGTCGGTGACAAAATTTGTACCGACCAAACAATTTTATTACCTACTTCATTTCGTAGTTAGACGTCACTTTATTTCCATCGTCCTATTTAGTCCCGTAGGTATCGTAAGATTCAGATACATTGCATACAAGATTCAGATACATTGAATTCAAGATCCTGGGACAGATCCGGGTAACACACATCTGCAAAATCAATTATGGGTAATATGAGTGATTGGACAAGCATGATCTTAGACTTTGTGGGGAGAAAATGTTTTAAACGATACAGAGTACGTAACGTAGCAGTGACTTTATGACTGACTTCAGTAACCTGAGTTCTCCAATTCAGCGTGCTGTCAATGTGTAGGCCAAGATTTTTTACAGACTTACTGAACGGTATTGTAATCCCATTGAAGTAGATAGGTGGTATGTCTGCAAGATTAATCTTGGCCAGCATCCTTGAGCTACCCACCAGTATAGCTTGGCATTTTGAAGGATTGACCAACACTCCATAACGAGTAGACCAATCCTTGATAGCTTGTAAGTTGTTATTTAATTTTTTAATCCCATTATGGATATCCCCAATTTAAGCTTGCACGTATAGCTGAAGGTCATCGGCATACAGATGGTACGAGCAATCGAAGATGGAGGTAATAAAGTTTATAAAAATAGAAAAAATTATAGGAGAGAGAATACCGCCTTGTGGTACACCAGCTTTCACATCAGCCCAAGCAGAGGTTATTTGCCCCACACAGACTGACTGCTGTCGACCGCGAAGATAAGATGCAAACCATTCCAATGCTGTAGGGCCAAAATTTAGATGAGACAGTATGGATACAAGGATTTCATGATCAACTGTGTTGAAAGCATTTGAGAAATCAACTAGTACCAGTACTGTTACTTTTTTCTTCCATACCGTTTCTAATATCGTCTGTGACGTTAATTAAAGCAGTACTGGTACTATGACCAGGGCGAAACCCAGACTGATATATACTCAGTAGGTTATGTTTCGAAATGAATGTAGAAATTTGCTTGTAAACACAGGATTCTAAAATTTTGGAAAGAAAGGGTAGAATGGATATAGGGCGAAAATGATTGGGAAGAATGGGAGAAGGAACTTTTGGAAGGGGCTTTATAAAAGCCCTTTTCCAAAGATTAGGGTACTGACCTGAATCAAGGGAAAAATTTATAACATGGGAAATTGCCGGAAGAAGGCGCTCTAGTATAAATACTACCATTTGTCTACTAATCTCATCATAACCCACCGCCTTGGACTGAATTGCTAAAATAGACTTTTTGACATCATCCTGCGAAACAGGAGAGAAATTAAAGGTAGGTATATTAGGAATTTGCACAGAAGCAATGGAAGCCACAGTTTGAGAGCGAATTGTAGGGTCCATTGCTGTTACAGAAGCGAAATGTTGGTTGATTTCATCAAGTGATAGAGAAGAACCACAATTCAATGTAGCTGGCCTGCAAAGACCAGAAGATCTAAGAAATTTCCACACTTCGGCGGGAGAAGAGTTGTTAATACAATTATGGAAATATCGGCGTTTAGCTGCCCGTACCATTTGATTGCACCTATTCCTGGCTGCTTTAAAAGATGACCAATTTTCTTCATTCATTAGTATGACGACAGCCTGCAGCGCGCAATGCACGTGCAACATCTCGCGCGCGAGCACTTCGGCCCCGCGTGAGTACAATGAATACATTACGTACAGTTGGCAGTACATCGCTCGCTACGCACCTGCAGCAGTATGACGACGGCCTGCAGCGCGCAATGCACGTGCAGCATCTCGCGCGCGAGCACGCCGGCCCCGCGTGAGTACAATGAATACATTACGTACAGTTGGCAGTACATCGCTCGCTACGCACCTGCAGCAGTATGACGACGGCCTGCAGCACGCAATGCACGTGCAGCATCTCGCGCGCGAGCACGCCGGCCCCGCGTGAGTACAATGAATACATTACGTACAGTTGGCAGTACATCGCTCGCTACGCACCTGCAGCAGTATGACGACGGCCTGCAGCGCGCAATGCACGTGCAGCATCTCGCGCGCGAGCACGCCGGCCCCGCGTGAGTACAATGAATACATTACGTACAGTTGGCAGTACATCGCTCGCTACGCACCTGCAGCAGTATGACGACGGCCTGCAGCACGCAATGCACGTGCAGCATCTCGCGCGCGAGCACGCCGGCCCCGCGTGAGTACAATGAATACATTACGTACAGTTGGCAGTACATCGCTCGCTACGCACCTGCAGCAGTATGACGACGGCCTGCAGCGCGCAATGCACGTGCAGCATCTCGCACGCGAGCACGCCGGCCCCGCGTGAGTACAATGAATACATTACGTACAGTTGGCAGTACATCGCTCGCTACGCACCTGCAGCAGTATGACGACGGCCTGCAGCGCGCAATGCACGTGCAGCATCTCGCACGCGAGCACGCCGGCCCCGCGTGAGTACAATGAATACATTACGTACAGTTGGCAGTACATCGCTCGCTACGCACCTGCAGCAGTATGACGACGGCCTGCAGCACGCAATGCACGTGCAACATCTCGCGCGCGAGCACGCCGGCCACCGCGCTGCGCTCCCACACGCCCTCCAGCCGGTCCGAGATCATCAGCGTCGACGTCACGATCGCCGGCAGGAAGAATATTATGCTGTTGACACGTACCATTTGAAAAAAAACCTAAATTTAGAGTTTTGGCGGGAATTTTATCGACCAAACGAATTGTTTCATCGTTTAAATAATAGGTTTTATCTTGATATACTCGTATAATCAAGATACAATTGTTATTAACTGCCTGTTAGGTTGAGCTGTAGTCAAAACCTAACAAAAATTTGGCAATGTGATACAGCAACATATTGTAAACAATATGCTCGTCAGACTAAGCTTTATAGGCACTGATGCCTTTGTAATTCATTAAATAAATAAAGAAAAAGTAATAAAAATGTTACCTACTTCCAAAGAGTATTTATATAATATTTATTAGTATTATTTAATATATAAATACGGGAACCTACTTCAACTTATATAAGTCATTTACACAAATTAGAAATAACAATGTGTTATGTTTGATGGTTCCTCATCATACGTGCAAAAATTTGTGCGCAGAGCTCATTTTTTTATAGGAAAGGGGGCAAACGAGCATACTGCTCACATGATGATAAGTGGTTACCGCCGCCCATGAACAACTGCAACACCAGGGGAATTGCAGATGCGTTGCCGGTCTTTTAAAAAGGAGTCCGCTCTTTCCTTGAAGATCCCTAAGTCGTATCGGTCCGGAAAAGTCTATGGTAGAAGTCGATTCCACAAGGAAGTTGTGCGAGGAAGAAAACTTCTTTTAAGTCGCACAGTGGTGGACCGCCATTTATCCAGATGGTATGGATGGTATCGCGAGTTTTATCGCGATGTGCGATGGTGAAATTGTGTGTCTGGAATTAGCCCGAACAATTCCTCAGAGCACTCCCCGAAGTAAATGCGATAAAATATGCAAAGAGATGCAACATTTCTTCGCAGTGCCAGTGAGTCAAGCCGATCGGAAAGAGTATGGTCGCCGACGATTCGAACAGCTCTGCGCTGGATGCGATCAAATGGAAGTAGATGGCACGGGAAGCTTTTTAGAGGCCAATTTGGCCTTCCCTTCCAAGTAACTACGAAACTTTACGTCACTCGATATGTCGACGCCGAGGATTTCGATACTGGTTGAGGGCAACAAGGGGAGTGCCTTGAAACTGAGAAGATACACCGAAGGGGACAAAGGGATTCTTTTTAGCGGTAAACGCGCAAACTTGTGTCTTCTGGGGATTGAGCTGGACTAGATTTAGTTGCCCCCAATCCGAGACTTTGTTCAACAAAGTCTCGACTTCAGACACAAGTTTGTTTCAGACACGTTTTTCCGAGAAATATTGACACGCCCGGTGTATAAAGCATCACCAGTGCTGTTATCCACATAGCAATGAATGTTACCGGTTTGCAACATGTCATTGATATGGAGAAGAAACAGCGTTGGCGATAACACGCAGCCTTGTGGAAAACCAGCGTTAATGGGCTTGTAATTGGAGCATGCACGGTCAACTACGACCTTGATGTTCCGATATCCAAGAAAACTGGTGATCCAATTGCACAATTTCACAGAATACCAGCGTAAAATAGCAGCTTAATGGTGCTGTGTTTCGTATGGTGAGTGTAGAGAACCGGAGACCCTTTTACTGGAAACGAGGCATTCCATCTTAGTCCTCACGGGTGACAACGCATCTGCTTTTGATTCGTAATACAAGATAGATGTAGATGTCTATAGGCCACAGCAGCCACTTAACATCAGGTGGACTGTGTACTCGTTTGTCACCCTTATCCTATAAAAAAAAAGATGTCTATGGGCCGCAGCAACCACTTACCATCAGGTGGACTGTGTGCTCGTTTGTCATCCTTATCTTATAAAAAAAACATTTATTTATTTTATTTTATTATTTATATATTATATATTTATTTTATTTAAGGACAGCCAGAGGTAAATACCATAAGACATGTTCACAAAACATAATATATAAGCTTAATTTTTGAATAAACAACATGCTTCACAAGAAGAGTAACACTTTGTAACATAAATTACAAAATATCAGAAACATAACCTAAAAATAAATCAAAAAACCGAGAAATACCAAAGATATAAAAAAAATATAATCTAATAAACTGAAACACCTTAAAACAATACAGGAGGAAAATCACAATAGTCAATTAAACCAAATAACAAAATTAATACATATCGAGCTCTTAAATATTATCTCTTAAGTTCTGTAGCACTGTTTTTTTAAAAGAGGACAAAGAATTGCTAAAAATGTCCACAGAATCCGACATCAAATTCAGCAAACGTGACATTCTATTGTTATGACTTAGATTAGATTTAGAAAGAAGTGGATAGAATAAAGGTACAGATTTACGCGGATAACGCCTTGGAACTTTAAATTTTATTTCTCGCAATAGCTAAGCGCTGTCCGTAGTTTCGCGCACTATTTTATAAAACATTACCATGTCTAGATACTTTCTTCGGTTTGACAAGCTGTCAACGCCGAAGAATTTTAACATCTCATTATATCCGGCAAGTTTTTTGTCATTTATGTTACTACAATAAGCGAGATTCCTCATAAACCGTTTTTGTGTCCCTTCTATACGTAGTTGATAGACTTTGTATTGTGGTGACCCATATTACGCTCCCATATTCTATTATGTTGCGGACATAGGTATTAAATAATATTTTTTGTTTGTGATCTTCTTAAAGGCTTTACTGTTTCTTAATATGAAGCCTAAAGTCCTTTAGGCTTTCTCTATCATGCGGTCCATTTGTGGAATAAAAGTCAGTTTAGAATACAAAAAATGCCGAAATCCTTAACAAGATCCACAATCTGTAATTCTTTATTATTTATTTTATATTTCATTTTAAATGGAGATAATTTACGTGTGAAAGAGATTTGAGAACATTTATTGGGATTCAGCTGCACATTATTAATGCTACACCAATTTACTAGACCATCAACATCATCTTGTAAAAGTTGTGAGTCATTGGAAGAATTAATCACTCTAGCTATCTTTAAGTCATCTGCAAATAATAGGACCTTACTATTTTTTATTTGTTGATCCAAATCATTAATGAATACGTTAAATAGCCACGGCCCCAGGTGAGAACCTTGTGGAACGCCAGAACTGGATATATATGTAGTTATCAGACTTTTAACCGTTTAGTAACTCTTTTTTTTAATTTTCAATTTTTTGGAATATCTGTAGTTTGATTTATTCGTTTCTGATCTAATTTCTATAAAATATAATTAATAATGTAAAAAGATACATTAAACTTCACATTTTCCTAATAAATTTACTTTCCCGCTATGAAAGCTGTCAAATATTTCACCTCATTTCGGTAGTGGCGCCGAATCTACATTTAAAGAATCAAAATGTCACCGTTGCCTGTTGCCAAATTTCGCGTTGTTACCCCTGAGGACTAAGATAGAATACGGTGACTTTTTCAACTAAAAATATTTTATACTAACTTTGCTCGGAATGCATCACTATCGATGTCTCTTTTATGTCAAAAAACTTCGCGAACGCGTGCTCTACATACAAATCACCAAAGTCGAACAAGCAAATCTCCTGTTTTAGTTTCTCTATGTTGCCTCTTGCGACACCCATGGAATGACATGGTGTAGCGAATTCTCTTAGGCCGTCACTAAACGGCTGAAAACCAATATTTCTTTTTATATAACCGATAAGTATAGGAAATCGATATCAGTACTACTTACGTAATCATAATACCTGGCGCCATAAACCCAACCATTTGGGAATCCATCGATCCGTAAATAGGTTCTTTGAAGCGCACAGGAATCTGAAAATATACGACTATTATATAGATTAATATGTTATTAAAAAGGTGATTTTAAAGTTACGTCCAAACAAAACTGCTGGCCACAGCTCTCCCATTATTGAGAGGGCTTGGGGCAATAAGTCTGGCCACACTGCTGCCTTGTGTGAACTTGTGTCAACACATTTGTTTTTTTTTCTTAATCAAGTATAGACGTAGATGACTTCCAGTTACGATTATGTGCTTGTTTCGCACTATTATTCATATAAAAAATTAAATATTGGTCTAAGATAAAATTTTATTAAGTCATTCGAAGAAAGAAAAGACGAAGGCTGAAAAAAATGTAAATCCATTTTGATATTTTTTTCAGCCTTCGTCTTTGACTCCATAGTCATCTAAAGAAAAAAAAGCAAAGAAGGCTGCATGTTGTGTGAAGGTTTTTAGAAATGCAAATTAAAAAATATAAATAAAAAAAATGTCTCGTTACAGAGTAAAACATTCCCTGACAAAAATTAAAAACTATTGACTTATATATTACAGTAAATCAATGATAAAACTCACTTGCACGAGATCCTCGTTCCGACCGCACGCGATCATGGCACGCTTCGTGAATTTCTCGTACGCTTTGTGAAGTTGAAGTTTTACGAAGTTGGAGATTTGATAGTCTGTAAAAAAAATTATAAATAGGACTACTGATTTTCACTCATTTTCACTCATTTTTGGGAATATGTTTTGATATTTTTCTTCCTCATTGATAGTCCGCAGAATGCCATGGCTGCACATAAGCCTAAACAGTTCTAGAGAGGATACTTCGCAGGCAGAATGAAGATTGCAGCACCGGACGTCTTGAGCCACTGCCCGTCGTCGTGCCGGTCTGGCTATGTTATTAACCGACTTCAAAAAGGAAGGGGTTGTCAATTCGAGTATGCGTTTTTTTGTACGCGATATCTTCGCAGATTGTGAATCGATTTTAATTATTCTATTTTTTATTAAATAGCTTTACCTTAAGGGTCGTACCATTAAATTTTGAAGAAAAATTCCGCCCTCAAGTATGGAAAATAGGGGAAATAGTTTAATATTGAACTATTGTTTATGGAATTTCATATGATATTTTTGCAGATTGAGAACCGATTTTAATGATTCTTTTTTATTAAGTAGTGTGGATGCTGCTGACACAGCACACATGCGTCGGCCGTGTCAATGTGTATATAATTCTCATGAAATATGATAACTCCCGCCACCGGCGAGACGGCAGTCTGTAAGTGAGTATTTCAGTTTCTTTTTGGGTGTAAAATGTGAACACGCGTCTCGGGTAAGATAAAATAAATCGGCTACAAATTGATGTGGACAGTTTTATCATTTTCCTCCCTACACGAGCCCCTAAGATACACTAGCCACCAAAGTTCGCAACAGTAGGTTATACTGGGTTATATTTTATTATGGTTATAATTTCCGGTTTTCCGGGTCGGCTCGACCTGAAAAGGACCACGCTCTCACAGAATACCAACGTAAAATAGCAGCTTAACGCTGCTGTTTCGTATGGTGAGTGTAGAGAACCGGAGACCCTTTTTACTGGAAACGAGGCATTCCATCTTAGTCCTCACGGATGACAACGCATCTGTATTTTGATTCGTAATGGAAGATAGATATAGATGTTTATGGGCCACAGTAACCACTTACCACCAGGTGGAATGTGTGCTCGTATGTCACCCGTATCCTATAAAAATAATTTCAGGGTTGATCCCATATGAATTTTGAGAAAAAATCCACCCCTAAGGGGTAGGAAATAACGCCACTCAATTTTAAGATACCGTTAAGTCTCGTGCTGTCTCTATCACTTTAAGTCAAAGTGACTGTGACAGCATGAGGCTTAAGGATATCTTAAAATTGAGAAGCGTTTGTCCTTGCGCCCCCTTTTCCCTAAAGGGGGTTGCTTCCGATTCGGCAGAAAGGCCATACAGGCCAAAGCCAGTCCGACAGATGGTGTTTAGTGGGTAGGCACTTCTTAAAAGTGAGTCCCACATAACCACGCAGCCGGCTGCCGTGCTATGCTATGAGCATTTACCACCTCCCTCCCTCGCTTCCGCTTCCGCATTGGGCGCAAAAAAAGTATTTGACCATTAGTTTAGTAGCAAGTAGTGCGGCTGCAACTATTCTACGCATAGGACCATATGGACTTATACTCCGACAGAGGGGAACGCCTGCGTATGGCTACTTCCCTCCGGTCCGGCGGTGACCCGTGTTACTCTATGTTTTTACTTAAGTATTACGTGATCACATTTAAATGTTGTTATTAAGTGATTCTTAAAATTACGAAAATTGGTGGGAAATATGATATAGATAATGGTAGGACAGTACCTGCAGTATCCAGCCAGACGGCGACATTACTGGCCTCCAGCACGTCGTCTTTCACGTTGCCCTCGGTCACGCGCATTTCCAGCGCCGAGCTGAAGTTGCGCGAGAAGTGCAGCGCTGCATACATCGACCGGGTCGCCACGGCTTGCTTCGCTTCGTTCGTCGTGTTGTATGGCACCTGGGTCAAAGTATAAACTAAAATAAGAAGTAACATACATAACTGACGGCTCCGTGGCGGAGAGCCTTGTCTTTCCTAAAGTTATGGTCGCTGTGAGAAGTTTAGAGCTTGTGATTTTATGGCAGTCGTTCAAAAATTTTGATAGTGTGATTTAGGCGTGAGTTCTAGTTCCATCCATAGCCCCCATATATTGTGGTACCGGTGCGTTGGAACTTCGTCCTTTATTATAGATGTCGTAAGTTTTAGGGGATTACCTGGAAGATATTAGTTATTATATATTTTGAACGGTGGTAGAGCCACGCAGCAGTTTTTGCTGTTGCACGTATGGGCCGGCTCGAGCCGGGTTGGTACCACGACCTCACAGAATACCGGCGTGAAGTAGAAGCTCTGCTTCTGCGTTTTGTCTGGTGAGTGCAGGTGGCCGGAGGCCCAATCCCCCCCCCCCCCCCCATCAACATGGTAGCGGAATTACACGTTAGACTACCCCAGGAGGGTACCAGCACCCCTGGAAAATCCCTCGCTGAGCATCCACGACCATGTTTTCCCACTCCTGAGCGTGGGTGCTCAGGCTGCCCCCCGTATTCTGGGGGGAGGGGGGGGGGGGACAAAATTCCGCTCAAAAATATAACTGCTCGGGGCAAACTGAGCAACAATACCAAGGCGACCCCTGCCACGCTTTCAGTGAATTTCTGCAACATCAGGGGACTTCACTCGAACCTAAACGCCCTGCACTACCATCTCGAGACGGCGAAGCCGGTCTTGCTCTTTCTAACCGAGACGCAGGTTTCCTCTCCGGCTGATATTTCGTATCTCTCCTACCCGGGGTACAAATTGGAGCACTCCTTTGTGCCTCGGGCTGGAGTTTGCATGTATGTCAGAGAGGACATCTGTTCTCGACGCCTCGGCAGTCTTGAAGGTTCGGACCTGTCCATCCTTTGGCTACGCGTAGACAGCGACGACCATCCGTGCGTCTACGGGTGCCTCTATAGGTCCCATAGCGGTAATGCCGAAACAGACCGACTCATCGACCACGTCCAAATGCCCACCACGCCGAATGGCTCGATTCACGTTAAACCGACCATGCGGGGAGATCTTTTTATGACTTTGCTTTGGCATATGGTCTGACACAACTGGTTACTTCGCCTACGCGGATTCCAGATGTGGAGGATCATACACCTTCCCTGTTGGACCTTCTGCTGACCTCTCATTCGGACAGATATCAGGTTTCTGTCGATGCCCCTCTCGGCTCTTCGGACCATTGTCTGATCCGGAGTGTGGTGCCAATCGCGCTCCGCGGTTGCGTTCTGCAGGTTGCCGCCGTGTTTGGCATTACAGGTCGGCGGATTGGGACGGAATGCGGTCTTTCTTTGCATCCTACCCATGGTTTGCTTCTCGCCGGATGATCCCAGCGCTGTTGCTGACTCTGTTACTGATGTGGTGCTACAGGGAATGGAACTATTTATTCCATCATCTGTGGTACCCATCGGTGGCAGATCCCGGCCTTGGTGTGATCGCTCCTGTAAGACTGCATTACGCAGTAAGTAGGAGTGTTATCAAGCCTGGGCTGCGGCTTCGGCGACTCGCGATGTAAACACCAGCACACTTAAAAAGAAGTATAACTTCGCCTCCAGGTCCTTCAAAAGAGTTATTGTCAACGACAGCGTAGCCCCGAAATCATGGAAGACAGCTTTTGTCCACCCGATCCCTAAAAAAGGCGACCGCTCAGATCCGTCCAACTACAGGCCTATCGCCATCACATCCTTGTTCTCCAAAATAATGGAATCCATTATTAACTGCCAGCTCATGCGATACCTTGAGGATCACCAGCTGATTAGTGACCGCCAATACGGTTTTCGTCGGGGTCGATCGCTGCTGATCTTCTGGTCTACCTGATCCATAGATGGGCGGAGTTCGTAGAGTCCAAGGGGGAGGCGTTGGCTGTTAGTTTGGACATTGCGAAGGCCTTCGATCGGGTTTGGCACAAAGCGCTTCTTTCGAAGCTCCCTTCCTATGGGCTTCCCGAGAAAATATGCGATTGGATCACATAGCTTCCTTGCAGATCGGAGCATCAAGGTCGTTGTAGACGGTGCATGCTCCGACTACAAGCCTATTAACGCTGGTGTTCCACGAGGCTGTGTGCTATCACCAACGCTGTTTCTTCTGCATATCAATGATATGTTGCTAACTGGTAACATTCATGGCTATGTGAATGACAGCATTGGTGATGCTCTATACACCGGCCGTGCCAATATTTCTCGGGAAAACGTCGCCGAGTACCGGAACAAACTTGTGTCTGAAGTCGAGTCTTTGCTGAACAAAGTCTTGGATTGGGGGCGACTAAATCTAGTCCAGTTTAATCCTCAGAAGACACAATTTTGCGCGTTTACCGCTAAAAAGAACCCCTTAGTCGTATCTCCTCAGTTTCAAGGCACTCCCCTTCTTGCCTCAGCCAGTATAGGAATCCTCGGGTCGACATATCGAGTGACGTACAGTTTCGTGGTCACTTGGAAGAGAAGGCCAAATTGGCTTCTAAAAAGCTTGGCGTGCTCAGCAGAGCGGGACTGTATTTCATGCCGGCACACCGCCTGCAACTTTACAAGGCGCAGGTTCGGCCTCACATGGAATACTGTTCCCATCTCTGGGCTCCCCAGTGCCAGCTCCTTCCACTTGACCGTATCCAGCGCAGAGCGGCTCGAATCGTCGACAACCGAGTCCTTTCCGATCGGCTCGATTCATTGGCACTGCGAAGAGATGTTGCATCCCTTTGCATTTTCTTTCGCATTTACCACGGGGAGTGCTCTGAGGAATTGTTCGGATTAATCCCAGCCGCCAAATTTCACGGACGTATATCGCGGCAGAACTCCCGATACCATCCACAGCATCTGGATGATTGGCGGTCCACCACTGTGCGATTTAGAAGATGTTTTCTTCCTTGCACGACTTCCTTGTGGAATCGATTACCATCAGCGATTTTTCCGGACCGATACGACTTAGGGGCCTTCAAAAAAAGAGCGTACTCCTTTTTAAAAGGCCGGCAACGCATGTGCAATTCCCTCCCTGGTGTTGCAGTTCTTCATGAGCGGCGGTAGTCACTTACCATCAGGTGAGCCACATGCTCGTTTGTCCCCTCTCCTATAAAAAAAATTAAAAAAAATTATTTCGAAGACGTGAAGTTTGCCAACACGTATTGGGGCAGCGCGGCGAATATTTCCTAGACCTTAAACCCTCCCAGAAATGAGAGGACTCTTGCGCCCAACAGTGGGACGTATATAGGCTGCAACTAAAACTTTTAACTTTTATATAATTTTCTATACCTAAAATAAAATTTTTCGGAGTATATTCACGTGTTTCTGTGATCTCTTGAAGATGTCGTTCGTGTATTCATAAAAAACATGACATACTGGTAAATCGTAAAATCGCTGAGCGCAATGGTTGGCAAGGCAATGCATTTTTTTTATAGAATAGTCACCCTTATTCGTACTATTTAACTTTTTTTATAGGATAAGGGTGACAAACGAACACAGTCTACCTGATGGTAAGTGTATGCTGTGGCCCATAGACATCTACATTTATCCTCGATTAAGAATCAAAATGCAGATGCATTGTCACTTCTGAGGACTAAAATCGAGGGCCCCATTACCAGTTATAAGCGTCTCCGGTTCTCCACATTTACCATCCGAAACACAGCAGCATTAAACTCCTGTTACACGCTGGTATCATGTGACAGCGTGGTCCTAACCCGGCTGAGCCGACCCATTTGTGCTACAATCATAATATACCTGCAGCAAGGTTTATTTGAGGCTGCTCAGAGTAGTGTCAAAAATCTCAGTTAGCGTGACGGTTATTTCAAATCTTCCCATTGTGAGAAGCAGCAGAATTGAAAACAACACAGATTACTACAGACACAGAGACACAGTACAGATTAATGTTCATACTTGAAATAGATTTCGTTTTTCCACCTCCTCTAGGAACCAGCAGCTGAGCATATAAGTATCACATGTGTCATCATCCCTCCTTATCACAGACACTAGACTCTCGTTCTTGCAAATATCTAGACCATCTGAAATTAAACGAAAATATTAAAAGCTTTGGTTCAACCATAGAATAAACAAGTGGCCCAAATTAAAAATATTGTACAAACGACTTCAATATAAATTATTAAGGATAATTCAAAACTAACTCGATCAGACCTTCATCAAATTGTTATGGGACTACATGAAAAACACCAGCTTTCTAATTTAAAAAAAATATCAAAATCGGTTCGCCTATAAAAAAATTATCAGGTAACACACATTAAAAAAAACCTAGAGTTGAATTTAATACCTACTCATTTTTGAAGTTGGTTAATAATAATACAAGAAGTATAACAGAATTTTTGCCGTATGGTGGTGATGTAAGAAAATCTACTACCACATATCCTGTCGTGGGTCGCGTAAAAGGTGACAGACTGAAACTGAAATAAGAAATGGGCACTTTCCTTACAATACCTTAATAATAATAAAAACACTACGATTTTTTTATAGGATAGGGGTAACAAGCGAGCACAGTCCACCTGATGGTAAGTAGTTGCTGTGGCCCATAGACATACATTTATCTTCGTGTGACCCCGTGAACCCCCGAGGAATAAGATGGAATGCCTCTTTTCCAGTAAAAAGGGTCTTCGGTTCTCTACACTCACCATGCAAAACACAGCAGCATTAAGCTGCTATTTTACGCTAGTATTCTACGAGAGCGTGGTCCTTCTCCGGTCGAGCTGTCCCATGCGGCTCTACATCGTGAGAAATATGATTGCCAACTAGCCTGCCAAGCGTGATAACTATGGCAAATATTTCCACTATGAAACACTTTATGCAGGCTTATGTTCAGTAGACCTCTGTTAAGCTGTAATTGATGAATGAAAATGTGCACTTACATGGAGATGAAGCCGCTTCTTCATTGACAACTGCTACGTGCAAATCTTTGGGGTCATTGCCGACTGCCATGAAGAAGGCGACCACTTGTATGATGGGGAATAATACGGAGAATATTAGGCCCCTGAAACAATAGAACTTTAAATAAAGATATCAATTGCATTCCTTTTGATAATGGACCGTGGGCTTCAAGAGCTGGTTTAAATACATCTTTAAATTTTTAACTCTTAATAAAAACAATTGCAAGCACCGTGCAATACTAGAATAATATTGTTGTTTGTCTTATATTTCTTTTCAAGTGCATTTATATTTAACACTAGCTGTGCCCCGCGGTTTCACCCGCGTCATCACGTGTCTGAGGTGCGCGACATGACCTAGTTCAAGCATGTTATAACGGCTAGGGTTTAAGCGTCGTTCGCGCGCCCAGCCAAGTATTGAATTATTTTAATTTTACATTATCTCTTAAACTATGCGTCCAAATAACATGGTATAAAGAACAAAGTTTATCTTCATAAAATTGTCTTGATGATGAAGTAACTTTCGTTCGTAAGGATAAATAGGCCATGCCTAATAATAACGCTCATAAATCACTTTTAAATTTTCAATATTTTTTTGTCACAAAATACCAAATTATGGCTTATGTATAAGAAATAGACATATGGTACCGTGGACTTTTTTTTAGACGGAGTAAAGATCTATATTTTTCTAGAACATTGTATTTACGTATCCCTAACGATAACACCAGCGTACGCGGATAAATCATTTCGGGAGTGCTTTTTCTTCTGACTTGCTTAACATATATCCATATTTAAGGCTATTTGAGTAATATAGCTTAATGCTAGATAGCCTATACTATTCCGCATGAATCTGGCTATAATATACAAAAAGAATTTTTCAAATCGGACTGTTAGTTCCAGAGATTAGCGCGTTTAAACAAATAAAAAAACAAAAAAACTCTTCCGCTTTATTAATAAGTATAGATTTTTTAAGTAAAGTATTATTTATTCGTTTGTTGATTATCTGTAATCTTTTGGATTTATTGAAGTATTTATTTTATGTATGTATTAATTATCTAAAAGTAATTTTTATTCATAGAAAAAGGGCTGATGCGACTATGACACCCTATTTAGTATTTAATGTTAAAGCTAAGCGTTTCAAGCGTTTTCGTCGTTCGTTTGATTTACAACAAAACATTCACAGAATAAGTGTTTACAGTGGATCTCTTGTAACTGCTGAGTCATTTGTTTCAAATATGATATACCATTACCATCACAGCCTATCAACAGTCCAATTATATATTTGTTTCATTATGATGACGCTGCAGCCCATCTCCTGGTTCGTTTCCCTCTATTGACTCTTTACTACATCTACGTGACGATATCTAGGGGATATTTTTACACAGTCGTTAGCCGTTTAAAAAATTATATAACTTATAAATACGTAATATATCAATTGAAACAATTCTACGTTGTTTTAGGACAAAAAAATACTTCATTGCAGCCAGAATTAGGGGTTACTATCAAAAGGTTTAAGCAGGAAAACGTCTAACGGCGCGAAACGTCACAATAATATTATGAAGTCTTATTAGCGAAACGTCCGTGTAAGAAAACGTCAAATAAGCAACTAGTCAGATTCTTAAACTGGACAGTACAAAAATAAATATCTAAGTAATATAAAAAGCGGATTTTGACGCGTTTTTCATCAATAGACAGAATGATTCAAGAGGAAGGTTTAATGTATAATACATGTATATTATATGTATATTATATAATTCTTTTTTATTTTTAATACTAGTATCGAATCTGGTGTGTTTCCTGATTTAATGAAGCATAGTAAAGTAATACCTTTATTTAAATCTGGTAGTACATTAGACCCCGCCAATTTTAGACCTATTTCTGTACTACCAACACTTAGTAAGATTTTTGAAAAAATTGTTCTTGATCAAATGTTAAATTTTTTTAATATAAATAATTTACTTCATAAAAATCAATTTGGTTTCACAAGGGGTCGCTCGACAACTGATGCCGGTGTTGAGCTGATTAAATATATCTTTAATGCATGGGAGAATTCACAGGATGCTTTGGGTATATTTTGTGACCTATCCAAGGCCTTCGATTGTGTTCACTATGAAACATTAATCAGGAAACTTCAACACTACGGTGTAAGAAGTGATGCTCTTAAATTAATTATTTCATATTTAAGTAAGAGAACGCAAAAAGTTGTCATTAACAATATGAGCTCTTCCGGATCGATGGTACAAATGGGCGTGCCTCAAGGCTCAATTCTCGGCCCCTTTCTGTTTCTTGTATACATTAATGACTTACCTTACATAGTAGGGGATAACCATGATATAGTATTATTTGCAGATGACACTTCTTTAATTTTCAAATTAAGTCGACAGTTACTAAAATATGACGAAGTAAATAATGCTATATCTAAATTAGTAAATTGGTTCGATGTTAATAATTTGCATTTAAATGGCACTAAAACAAAATGTATGAAATTCGTGACTCCAAATGTCAAACAATTAAATACTAATGTAATTTTAAATGGGGAGAAACTGAGTCTTGTAGATACCACCATTTTTCTTGGAGTCACACTAGACGCGAAGCTTCAATGAAGCCCCCATATATCAAAACTAGCAAGCAGACTTAGTTCTGCAGCACATGCTGTAAAAAAGATTAGAAGTCTAACCAGTGTTGAAACAGCTAGTCTAGTTTACTTCAGCTACTTCCATAGCATAATGTCGTATGGTATTTTGCTATGGGGACACGCAGCTGACACTGAAATTATATTTGTTTTGCAGAAGAGGGCCATACGAGCAATTTATGATTTAAAGCCTAAAGAGTCGCTGCGACAAAAATTTAAGGAAATTAATATATTAACTTTGGCCTCTCAATACATTTATGAAAATGTAATGTACGTACACAAAAATAAAAGTAGTTTCACAAAAATAAGTGATATTCATTCTGTAAATACTAGGAACAGACACAAGCTAGTAGTACCAGTTACTCGACTCCATCGAGTCAGTAATTCATTCTTGGGGCGATGTATACGCTTTTACAACAAAATTCCAGAAAATATACAAAGTTTGACCTGTTCAAAGTTCAAAAACTTTATTAAACTAAGTTTGTATAAAAAGGGTTATTATAATATTAAGGAATTTATGGATGATCATAACCCCTGGAAATGAGGTGATCGCTACCAAGCTATTTCTAATTTGTTGTGTTGTTAATTTGTGTAACATCATGATTGTAAGCTGTTATTTAAAAAAAAAAGTCCCGCTGGGTTTCTTGCTGGTTCTTCCCAGGACAGAGGTTTTTTCCGAACCAGTGGTAATCAAACAAAAGAGTGACTTTCAATAAGTATTATTTATAATCTATATTGAATAAAAAAGTTTCTGTTTCTGTTTCTGTTTCTTCTGTCCGTGTGTATGTGACTGAGCTCCTAAACGGTTGGACCGATTTTGATGAAATTTTGTGTGTGATTAAGTTGATTATTGAATGGTTTAGATACACAATTGGACCCGGTTTGTGGCTTTGTTGTCGAGATCTAGAAATCAACCGTACGGAGCCGGGGCGGATCGCTAGTAATATCTAATTTGTGAAGGCAATACACACACGGTTGTATGATATGTACGTACAGTCTCCTTGGTCCTCTTATTATACATATCTTTTCAAAAGTAACACTTTATCGTTACAATTGAATGTTATTTGATCTGATGAACTAGTAATGTGATCGTTAATCAATTGACGATCAAGACAAAGCCGCTCAACATACACAGGTCCATGTTCAGCAGTGGACTTGTACGGGTTGATGAAGGACACGGTATACCGTGAATATTGAGAATCTCTCTCTGTTGAATACAACCTTCCATTTTTGCAAGTGTTTTTGTAAGTGTGAATAGAGCTGGAGAGAGCATTGCTGTATTGGCCGGGTTGATTGTGAAAATAAAAAGAAACTTCAATATGCCGCCATATTTATTAGATGTTTTACTTCACCGCTGTGCATGTCATAAATTAGGTATATATACAATTGAGTCTTTCCATACTCTGTAACTCGAGACGTCATTCGTTTGTACTTTCACTCATTACGGAGGACTTTTTTTAATATGCAAGCAATGTGACTTATGTTAATGATGCATACCACTTAAACCATAACTGTAAAGTACTTGTGGCGGCACTGTCGTCCCACCACAAGCCAAACACATCGAAGCTTAAATCGCTCTATCAAAGTTCCGAAGTAAAGCAGTATAGATATATAGAATAGCTCCGAACTACCGCTTGGAGCGTTGGTCGCTCCCCAGGCAGAACACTTTGCCTGGCGGGAGACCTCACCTTTTTATTTCACGTCCACATACTGTGGAAGTCTTTAAGACTGTGTTCAATAAAAGTTTAATAAAACGTAGTGATTATAATATACTCTTTATTTAATAGTACATCCCGAAAAGTGCTAACCATGAAAAATAACAAAAACAATAAGTGTGACGTCTTTTCTTCTACCTATACTATACAATAATGTCCTCCAGACAGAATTTCGGTATTTGCGTATTTTATCGCATCTATCACGGGGAGTGCTCTGAGGAATTGTTCGGACTAATTTCAGCCGCTCAATTTCACCATCGCACATCGCGACAAAACTCACGATACCATCGGTATCATCTGGATGATTGGCGGTCCACCACTGTGCAATTTACAAGGGATTTCCTTCCTCGCACAACTTCCTTGTGAAATTGACCACCACCAGCGATTTTTCTGGACCTATACGACTTAGGGACCTTCAAGAAAAGCCTACTCCTTATTAAAAGGCTGGCTACGCATCTGCAATTCCCCTGGTGTTGCACTTGTTCATGAGCGGCGTTAGTCAATTACCATCAGGTGAGCCGCAAGCTCGTTTGCCCGCTCTCCTATAAAAAAAGACTAGCCATCTGCGCAGGACAGGATCATAATGCACGAGTATGTGCGCAAGCACAGGGGCGCTCTCTATTACCTCACTCTTATAGTCCGATGGGATGGCAATTCGGCACGACTGGGGAGAGATCAGGCGCAAGACCAACGGTTAAACGTGCTTACGAGATACGGGGGTGAAACACCACCTACTTCTTGATGTTGTTTTTGTCTGTTCCATTGGCTACAGGTGGGTTAACGCGAGTGAGTGCCACTGTGCCATCTTATACACTTATTAAGTACTGATTTACGAATTTGGTATTTAACGGTGGTAGAGCCACGCAGCAGTTTTTGCTGTTGCACGTATGGGCCGGCTCGAGCCGGGTTGGTACCATGACCTCACAGAATACCAGCGTGCAGTAGAAGCTCTGCTTCTGCGTTTCGTCTGGTGAGTGCAGGTGGCCGGAGGCCCAATGCCCCTCCCCCCTATCAACATGGTAGCGGAATTACACAATAGACTACCCCAGGAGGGTACCAGTACCCCTGGAGAATCCCTCGCTGAGCATCCACGACCATGTTATTCCAATCCTGAGCGTGGGTGCCCAGGCTGCCCCGCGTATTCTGGGGGGGGGGGGGGCAAAATTCCGCTCAAAAACATAACTGCTCGGGGCAAACTGAGCAACAATACCAAGGCGACCCCTGCCACGTTATCCGTGAATTTCTGCAACATCAGGGGACTTCACTCTAACCTAAACGCCGTCCACTACCATCTCGAGACGGCGAAGCCGGCCTTGCTCTTTCTGACCGAGACGCAGTTTTCCTCTCCGGCTGATATTTCGTATCTCTCCTACCCAGTGTACAAATTGAAGCACTCCTTTGTGCCTCGGGCTGGAGTTTGCGTGTATGTCAGAGAGGACATCTGTTCTCGACGCCTCGGCAGTCTTGAAGGTTCGGACCTGTCCATCCTTTGGTTACGCGTAGACAGCGACGACCATCCGCGCGTCTACGGGTGCCTCTATAGGTCCCATAGCGGTAATGCCGAAACAGACCGACTCATCGAACACGTCCAAATGGCTACAGATTCCTTGCTACAACATCCGCAGAGATCGTGATCCTTGGCGATTTTAACGCCCACCACGCCGAATGGCTCGGTTCACGTTTAACCGATCATGCGGGGAGATCTGTTTATGACTTTGCCTTGGCATATGGTCTGACAAAACTGGTTACTTCGCCTACGCGGATTCCAGATGTGGAGGATCATACACCTTCCCTGTTGGACCTTCTGCTGACCTCTTATCCGGACGGATATCAGGTTTCCGTCGATGCCCCTCTCGGCTCTTCGGATCATTGTCTGATCCGGAGTGTGTTGCCACTCACGCTCCCCTCGCGGTTGCGTTCTGCAGGTTGCCGCCGTGTTTGGCATTACAGGTCGGCGGATTGGGACGGAATGCGGTCTTTCTTTGCATCTTACCCATGGGGGCTGGTTTGCTTCTCGCCGGATGATCCCAGCGCTGTTGCTGACTCTGTCACTGATGTGGTGCTACAGGGAATGGAACTATTTATTCCATCATCTGTGGTACCCATCGGAGGCAGAACTCAGCCTTGGTTTGGTCGCTCCTGCAAGACTGCATTACGCAGTAAGCAGGAGTATTATCAAGCCTGGGCTGCGGCTTCGGCGACTCGGGATGTAAACACCAGCACACTTAAAAAGAAGTATAACTTCGCCTCCAGGTTCTTCAAAAGAGTTATTGCCAAGGCAAAGTCAGAGCACATAGGCAGAATTGGCGAGAAACTAGTTAGCCTTCCTTCGGGAACCCGTGCATTCTGGTCTCTCGCCAAGGCTGTCCAAGGAAATTTCTGTAAGCCAACACTACCATCTCTGCACAGGGAGGACGACTCACTGGCCCAAGACGCAAAAGACAAAGCCGACCTTTTAGGCTCCCTTTTTGCGTCCAACTCGACTCTTGATGACGGGGGGAAAACACCGCCGAACATCCCGCGGTGTGAGTGCTCCATGCCGGATGTGCTGTTCTCTCAGCGCTCGGTTCGCAAAGCACTTCTCTCCCTGGACATCCAGAAGTCGAGTGGGCCTGACGGAATCCCCCCAATTGTGCTGAGGACGTGTGCTCCGGAGTTGGCACCGGTCCTAACGCGTCTTTACCGGTACTCCTACTCCCAAGGCATAGTCCCGATTTCATGGAAGACAGTTTTTGTCCACCCGATCCCTAAAAAAGGCGACCGCTCAGACCCGTCCAACTATAGGCCTATCGCGATCACCTCCTTGTTCTCCAAAATAATGGAATCCATTATTAACTGCCAGCTCATCCGGTACCTTGAGGATCACCAGCTGATTAGTGACCGCCAATACGGTTTTCGTCGGGGTCGATCAGCTGGTGATCTTCTGGTCTACCTGACCCATAGATGGGCGGAGGCAGTAGAGTCCACGCTGTTTCTTCTGCATATCAATGATATGTTGCTAACTGGTAACATTCATTGCTATGCGGATGACAGCACTGGTGATGCTCTATACACCGGCCGTGCCAATATTTCTCGAGAAAACGTCGCCGAGTACCGGAACAAACTTGTGTCTGAAGTCGAGTCTTTGCTGAACAAAGTCTCGGATTGGGGTCGACTAAATCTAGTCCAGTTTAATCCTCAGAAGACACAAGTTTGCACGTTTACCGCTAAAAAGAACCCCCTTGTGGTATCTTCTCAGTTTCAAGGCACTCCCCTTCTTGCCTTAGCCAGTATCGGTATCCTCGGAGTCGACATATCGAGTGACGTGCAGTTTCGTGGTCACTTGGAAGAGAAGGCCAAATTGGCCTCTCTTCCAAGTGACTACAGACCAAGGCGCAGGTTCAACCTCACATGGAATACTGTTCCCATCTCTGGGTAGGGGCTCCCCAGTGCCAGCTCCTTCCACTTGAACGCATCCAGCGCAGAGCGGCTCGAATCGTCGACGACCGAGCCCTTTCCGATCGGCTCGATTCATTGGCACTGCGAAGAGATGTTGCATCCCTTTGTATTTTCTTTCGCATCTACCATGGGGAGTGCTCTGAGGAATTGTTCGGATTAATCCAAGCCGCCACATTTCACGAACGCACATCGCGGCAGAACTCCCGATACCATCCACACCATCTGGATGATTGGCGGTCCACCACTGTGCGATTTAGAAGATGTTTTCTTCCTCGCACGACTTCCTTGTGGAATCGATTACCATCAGCGATTTTTCCGGACCGATACGACTTAGGGACCTTCAAGAAAAGAGCGTACTCCTTTTTAAAAGGCTGGCAACGCATCTGCAATTCCCTCCCTGGTGTTGCAGTTGTTCATGGGCGGCGGTAGTCACTTACCATCAGGTGAGCCGCATGCTCGTTTGCCCCCTCTCCTATAAAAAGAAATTCCCGGCTTTAGTGTCGTTAGTAATAATAGTTCCAATTTTGGGTGCTCGCGTACTATTTAACTTTTTTTATAGGATAAGGGTGACAAACGAACACAGTCCACCTGATGGTAAGTGGTTGCTGTGGCCCATAGACATCTTAATCCATCCTCGTTTGGGAATCAAAGTGCAAATGCGTTGTCAGCCGTGAGGACTAAGATGGAATGCCTATTTTCCAGTAAATATAGTCTCCGATTCTCTACACGCACCACACGAAACACAGCAGCGTTAAGCTGCTACTTTACGCTGTTATTCTGTGAGAGCGTGGTCCTTCCCCGGTCGAGTCGACTTATTCGTGCTACAACTATAATATTAATATAGCTGCAGTATAGCTTTACCACGTATAAAGGAGCGTTTATCACCTGTGCTGCTACAGATCGGAAATAAAAGTGTTTCTTTTTTTATAAAATTGAAGTGACGAACGAAGTTACAGTCCACCTGATGGTAAGTGACCACAGCAGCAGATGTCTGCAACCAACTTTATATAAAGAAGGCCACAGATGCGTTGTCACTGGCTCTTTATAATCCTCAGATCGGAACGCAGGAGTGCCGGTCAAATTATTTAAAAAAAAAACCCACTTAATATTTTTTTTATTTATGTATCGATTTCTTGTGAAACTGGTTTGTTTACGATTGACAAATGACGTTAAAATAATTTTCTAGGCGGTTGCACGTTCCACGTCCAAAGAACTGAGCGAGCGATTCATGTCACGTCTTACCGCCAAATTGGTTGCCGGGAAGCATATGCGACACAAATATGGCGGGAAGCGTATATTATGACATAAATATGGCGCGATTAACTAAACCAGCCAGTATCTTGAATCGCTCTTTATTTATTTTAAGAATATTATGCATTACAGTTAAAGTATGACTTCATTTCATTATGTATAAATGGTTTATCAAAAAGGACTTTAACGATTTGTATGAAATATTGTACTTAGATAATGTTTTACTTTCCAAGCATATTTAGTTAAGTTTTATTTTTTTTAACATCAAACAATCTTCGGTCGCTTAGGTACTAATTGTAACTGAAGCAACAGTATTCAATCAAATATTTAAGGTGCGTACTGCAAAACATTAGGCCTTTACATCAAATCCACCTTTCGGTTAACTACTGTTACGACTATATAAACCATCTGGTTAATGTCACTTGTACTGACAATGTAATAAACTTATTGAAAGAAGAAAGGAATTTTCGGAATAACTAAATGCAATATTTTACCACTGGTAACTTATTATAATAAACAATAAGTTTTCGGGGAGTTTTGGCGGGAAATTGACCGGCGGCGGTTTGCTGCTCCTGTATTATTGTTTAAATAATGATTTGAAGTGGACTTTGATATGTAAAAGTGTTGCGATTTTGTGTATTAAGTGTCTACGCATGTGAACTATTAGTGGAAACAGTGAAACAAGTGCTCTGATGGTGATGGATTCTCAAGATAAGCTGTTTGTTTGCATAGGCACTTTTAGATACCATCGCCAACTATCAGCTGTCTGCTGGATCAAGTTGCCGCCAAAATCTCCCAAGAACTGCACAATGTGACGCATCAACATATTGTGAAGCAGTATACTATGAAGGAGTGGGAAAATTACAATAAACCGAATAAAAATACTTAAGACTTGGCCTAAAGGTCTAGATACCAGGCCATAAACTCCAAAAAAAATAAGTTTTCGGAATATGAATGACACTTATCAAAGAGTTATAGAAATGCGTTCTATTTTTTCTGAGACAACTTACTACTTTGCATTTAGGTTATGTTTAAATAGACATAGCTATTATTGTACACTTACCCAGGATGCCGCGAAAACTGCTGTATGCTCTTAATTAACACGGCTTTGTACCTCGCCTTAGATTTATTTCGTCGATCCGAAGTGTTTTCTTTGGTGTTGAGCATCTGAAAATTTGGTTATTAATTTTAATTACATAAGTGCCCATAGTAACCAGTCTGTTTTTTGAAAACTATGCATGTATTTGGTAAATAGTATGTCGAAGAAGAATGGAAGATACAATTGTATACGTGGATTATGTGACATTATATGGGGATTGTTAAAATAAACTTATAGATCCCGAAATGAAATATATTTATAGCTTTCCAGAATGGCAATGGGAAGCAACGTGAAGAGGCGTCTCACTGATGATGATGAAGAAAAGAAGAGGAAAAGAAGAATCATCTAAAAAGGTAGGAAACCCAAAGAATATTTATATGAAATATAGAAAGATATAAAACATAGCAAGGTTTATTATTTTTATAGAATAAGGGGGACATACGAACACCTGATGGTAAGTGGATACTGTGGCCCATAGACATTTACATCTATTCTCGGTTAGTAATAAAAATGCATAATTATGTGTTGTCACCCATGATGACTAAGATAACACGCATCATACACAGCAACATTAAGATGCTATTTTATGCTGGTATTTTGTGGAAGCGTGGTTTCTCCGGTAGAGCCGACCCTTTCGTGCTACAACTACAATATAGCTATAGCATAGCTCTTCCATGTACAATTTCTATTAGGTTAGGTTAGGTTATTGGAATTTTTACTTACATCAGTACTACTGGTGACTATGTTGAAGTCCTCCCTTGACTCGTAGCGGCTGTCCACATTGTTCACAATACTGCTATCCGGTATGACGTCAGGAGACGCTGTTAAAGCTGGAAAACCATCTCCATCTCAATAAATCACATTATCCAGATTATCCTAATCTGATAGCAGGTAGTTATAAATGCTGTGTAGTGGCGGCATGAGAGATTCCGCTATTGGATATTATCCCGTGGGTATCGTGACGGGCGACAGAGGGAAAAACAAAACAAATCAAAATCATAAAAAATTAGATTCCCAAGCGTGGGACTATGGCCAGTATCAAAGAGTATATAATCACCACATTTTAGATAGTATGGGGACTTTTAGTTGTACTGTCCTGGTTGAATGAATGATGGTAATGAACAAACTAAGTAGTTAGAATCCATGTATGTTTCAAGATTTGAAAGGTAAGACTTTTTACATGCTCATACAAGTAGATATAGCGCTGTGTCGTAAAAATTCGTAATTGTAAATAATACATGAAACACGATCTTACATGAATTGCCTTATTGCTGAGCGGTAAGTGATACCGTGTAGTGGCAGTGTAAGAATATCACCACTACCCCATATCATCGTAAGGTGTCGTAAGTGACGACAGAGAGGAAACAAATTAGGGAGATGTGCAGTATCGTCATCCTAATAACGATTAACATTAAAAAAACTGCAGTTGTCAATGTATATACTTGGTCTTAGACTTCAGAAGCTATTATGAGGAAATATTTTTTTCTTTTAAGTTATTTGAAGTCGGTTTTTACTTTTAATTCAAAGCATAATTTTGATTGATGAAGATCGTTATAAGTATTAATTTTGTTTATTGCTCCAGGTTGCTAAATTTAGCACTACAAGGAGTAATAGAAATATATGTTCTTTTTATTCAATCTATATTATAAGTAATACTTATTGAAAATCATTCTTATGTTTAATTAATCAAACCACACGTTCGAAAAATACGTCTGGCCCGGAAAGGCAAGGCAACCGGCAAGAAACCCAGCGGGAAATTTAAAAAAAAAACATGTTTAAAATTATATATTATGTTACAAAATTAACTACACAAAACAAACTATAAATTACTTGGTAGCGATTAAATCATTCCCAGGGGCTACTATCATCTACAAAGTCCTTAATATTATAACCTTTTTATACAATTTTTGATAAATCAATTTTTGAACTTATACTTGAATAATTAGTTGATACGATAGGTTATTAATCTGTTACTATAATATAACTTACTCGATCTTCTTCTATTTGAAACTTCATGTTGCCTTAGTGCCATCTTCAGAAATGCCTCTTCTAACGTATCACAGTCGTATTTACGTAGGATTTCACTTGGAGAGTCTTCATCTAGCAACTGCCCATCACGAAGAAGTCCAATCTGGGGATAATTTGTAATTTAAATACATTTCTTCTTTTATACGTGATAGAGCCATGCTGCAGCTATATTTCTGGTATAGTTGTAACACGAATGGGTCGGCTCGACCGGGTAAGGACCACGCTCTCACAGAATACCGGCGTAAAATAGCGGCTTAATGCTGCTGTGTTTCGTATGGTGAGTGTAAAGAACCGGAAACTGGAACCCTTTTTACTGGAAACGAGGCATTCCATCTTTGTCCTCATGGGTAACAACGCATCTGCATTTTGATTCGTAATCGAGGATAAATGTAGATGTCTATGGGCCACAGCAAACACTTACCATCAGGTGGACTGTGTGCTCGTTTGTCACCCTTATCCTATTAAAAAAAATCTGCACCTCAACGGGTCTTAAGGAGGGTATTTCTTTATAGAATAAGTGTAACAAACAATCACACCTGATGGTAAGTAGATGCTGTGGCCCATAGACATTTACAACTATCCTTGATTAAAAATAAAAATTGTACACGCACTTAGTTGCCCAGACTAAGGTCAACTGTACAGGGGCCCATACAGCTGTAGATTTGACGGACAACTAAGTGTGGGGCTCAAATGCCTATCGATATTTAATATATATAGATTAGGTACTTAATGCGACTTACCTGGTTCAGAAGCGAAGAAGGACCACAAGGTTCGTTCAGACGTTAAGTGTAGTGAATGTAAGTAGTGTGTGAGAAGTGTATATATGTTTAACCTGAATCAGCCCTTTTTAATCAGCAGCAACCTTGACTCCAGCACCGCCACCCTATGTGGTATCACTCCAGCGGCGTCACTCGGTGTCACTCAAAGTCTAGCGTCCATTAGCACAAATCTATAATCTAATACGAACGCTGGTTCACGCGGGTCACAAAGTTTAGCGGTTTTAACCGACACAGGAAAATATCTTCGAGTTAAATCAAATGGCACAAAGGAACTCGTTGACGCGAATTATTATTGTCAGAATGCACTTATACATGCAACCACTATACCACTTGACGCTAATTAATTGTAACGACGTTAATTAATCGCTCAAACTCAAAATTCAGCCTCGTTGACACGTAAAACAAACAAAAAAAAAAAACAACGCAAAAATGAGAGGCACTTAAATCGACGTTATAATTCCACACGCGTCCTTTATAACCGGTAGTTCCTCACAATTGATGGATATGGTTTTTAAAATTCATTTTCATATTAAATTTTACAGGAGAACTTTTTACTTTAATATCTCAAAAGTATACATTTAGCACATAGCAGATATTGGTTTGACAACGGCGTATGCCAAATGTAAATATACAGATTGTGGTATATACAATACGTGGTAGAGCCACGTGCTATATACCGTTGTGACGTCACTGGTAATGTAAACTAGTTAATGTGCTGTGTGTTATTTAGAAATTTTTCAAGTTATTATCACAATAATTGTTAACTGTTATTCTGTATTTTATTGAAACGATACCATGGAAGATGGATTCGTAAAAGCAGAAAGTACTAATCTAGCAAAGATAAATACATTGATGGTGGCAAAATTTTATGCATGCAATCCCGATTTTTGTTCTGCTGAGGTGAGGAATGTTAAAACATCAATTTAAGTACCTATTACCACAGAATAAATAATAGTACAAAAACTATTACCAACTTTTGTTTATACATGGTAGAGCCATGCTGCAGCTATGTTATGGTTGTGGCACGAATAGGTCGGCTCGACCAGGGTACGACCACGCTCTCACAGAATACCAGCGTTAAATAGCAGCTTAATGCTGCTGTGTTTCGTATGGTGAGTGTAAGATCCGGAGATCCTTTTTACTGGAAACGAGTAATTTCACCTTAGTCCTCAGGGGTGACAACGTATCTGCATTTTGATTCTTAATCGGGCATAAATGTAGATGTCCATAAGCCACAGCGTCCCCTTACCATCACGTGAACTGTGTGCTCGTTTATCGCACTCGTTGTATAAAAAAACCTACATTTATCTTCGATTAAGAAAAAAATTGCAAATGCGTTGTCATCCTGAACACTAAGATGGAATGAAAAAATAGTTTTTTAATATAAATATAAATTAGAAAAAAAGGGTACCCGGTTTTCCTTATTCACCATACTAAACACAGCAGCATCATGCTGATATTTCACATTGGTATTGAATACGAGTTACCTACCTACTACTATCTACCTTACCTGGTCGAACTGACACTTTCTTAGAAGTACGTACCACGCATGAAAATTTGGTTGGAAATATATCTTTTCTGTAATGAACGTACCTTGTGCGCTTGTTTTGTTTCGTCGATGTAATGTGTCGTTATGATAACTGACGTTCCGCCTCTAGCCAAATCGGTGAGGAAGTCCCAGATCCTGTAATAATTGAACTTAATTAAAACTAAACAAGTAATAAATAATTTAGCGTGTAGTGGCCCACTGCCCCAGATCATCGTAAGAAGCGACAGAGAGAAACAAATCAGGAGATGGGCAGCAGCGGATTCCTAATAACGACTAAAAAACCGGTTGCCAACCCGCTTGGCCAAGCCTACTTGGACTTTAATAGGCTCTAATAAATAATAACTTAATCTTATTAATATATAATAGTGGAATGTGGTGGAGGCGTAAGAAAATACATCTCCCCATCTCGCCCCGTGGGTGCCGTAAGAGGCGACTATAGGAAAGCCCAGAAAGATCTCACTGCTTCCGATAGATGGCGCTAAAAACTACAGAAGTAAAACATTTAGACCGGCGACGGTGAGTAGGGTCAAAGGTGTGAGACGTCTGGCACTGCGATCTACAATCCGCCTCCTTAGTCCTTCCCACGGGAGAAACCAGTACAAGAGTGTATTGATAAAGAATTTATCTTTATATATAAAAATTACGTGTCACGTTGTTTGTTCGCGATGGACTCCTAAACTACTGAACTGATTTCAATGAAATTACACACTGTGTGCATTTTGATCCAACATAAGAGATAGGATAGTTTTTATTCCGCTAAATGACCCTCAAATTTTTTTATTGAGAATTTAAGGATTTTTATAGGAAGGGTCGTTGGAAAGGGCAGAACAACGTCTGCCTGGCGATCTAGTTATAACTATATATTTAAACGGTTTAGTTTGCGGTCTACATAATATAATCATTTATGTTGTGGAGGTACATCCATGTGCAATTTATGTATGTAAAAAACGATACATAAGAAATTCCCAGTGCAAATCGTTTTAAAAAGAAACACCAAAGACGTTAAGCCTATAGCACCAAGAGTGCAGGTTGTACGCGCAAATAAAAAGACGGTAACCCGTTCTATATTTTTAACTTGGGAAAACCACCTCGCGGGGGCAAGGACCGGTTATGTCGGACTCGCACCTACTAATATTCCACGGTGTATCCATCTTCGCCGCATATTAGCAGAACCATGGAACGCTTTCACACACATCCGCGGCCCTAACAGCGCTGGTTGGGCAACCTCTCGGGAGAGGACTTCTACTCCCCTTTTCCTCCTCAGGTAAAGCGCACCAGGAACACCAGGCGCGCCTCTTACTCCACCAGCGCAACAGACCTCCCCGAGCCCGATATGTGAAGGCCATGGGACCAAGAAAAAAGCACTAGCTTTCCTGGCCCCAGCGTCGGATCTGGTCTGGCGATAACTTGTTCTAATCTATTTCTGCTGCTAAGCTTACGCGATAGTGTGGATGTTACCCATTGCCTACATGTTGTAATCATTGTACTGTCCTTTATCAGAGCTAACCCATTCGTGCTGCAGCTACAATGCGCTGAGACGTGGTAATACCACGTCGAAGTTTTTTTATATTCATTACAGCCCTTCACAAGTCCACTGCTGAAAATAGTCCTCCCCCGAGGAATGGGTATACCAACGAACAAGGATTAAACTTTGCCAATCAGTGTCAATTGCAGTGTGAGATTGCCAATTGCGGTATTTGACGTTAGAGACCATAGAGTTAGACTTAAAAAAAGTACTTTGTGATTTAGACTACGCCAGGTCGCCAGTATATTCTAAGCCTATGATTAAAACCTATTATACACGGTCCATCTTGACGTACGTCCCGCCAAAGTCATGCACGATGCACGACGCAAAACGACAATGAATAGACTTGACGTACGTCAATGACGTACGATAAGTGATTATAATGCCGGCGCCAGAGATAGCTTTAAACATTAATTGAACACTTGTTTGAAGCTATATGTAGCACGGGACTTTGAATCAATGTTCAAATAAGTGCGCAAAGAAATTCACTTTGCCAAGCGGTTTCGGTTTTTTAGCGCACATCAAAGCGTTCAAAGCCGACAGTGTTCAAATGTTTGCGTAGCCTGCCACACTTGCGCAAAGTTCAATCTTAAAAAATAACATTAATTAATACTCTCTTTGCAATGTAACTGTGAAATATTTTTTTTATTTTTATTTTTAGAATTAGGGTGACAAACGAGCACACAGTCCACCCGATGGTAAGTGGTTGCTGTGGCCCATAGACATCTGCATCTATTTTCGGTTGTGAATTAAAATGCAGATGCGTTGTCAGCCGTGAGGACTAAGATAGAATGCCTCTTTCCAGTAAAATAGGTCTTCGGTTCTCTACACTCACCATACGAAACACAGCAGCATTAAGCTGCTATTTTACGCTGGTATTCTGTGAGAGCGTGGTCCTTCCCCGGTCGAGCCGACCCATTCGTGCTACAACTATACTATTAATACAGCTGCAGCCTGGCTCTACCACGTTTAGCATATTGACAACATCGCCATTCGCGCCTAGTTTTCGGCTGTTTTGATAGATTTTTTTTGCACATGTAATAAATAATGACATGCACTACAGGCTACAATACAGGCACACTGCATCAACAAAATCGTCGTCCATCTTGTTTGTCGTTTATCAACGTAATAACCACAAAGCACGCTCCTGAGCCACCTGCACTCATCGAATTACTGTATGCCTTACATTGCCTTAAGTAATTAACGCTCATAATGAATCAAAATTTTTCAATTCAGGTGTCATAAAAGTAGGTAGTCACAGCTTCTTTTTCTACCAACTTCAAGAAGGAGCCGGTACTCAATTCGACCTAATGTCTTTTTTGCTTTATGTGTACCTCATAACTTTTTACTGGCTGAACCGATTTCGATGATTCTTTTTTTATTTGACAGCTGGTTCAAGGTCGGTCTAATAGTTTTTGAGTTATTCTTAATAATTTATATTGAAGTCGATTGTACAAATTTTTTAATTTTAAATTATCTTTCTTATACGCTCTTGGTTCATGGTGTTTAAGCATGTTAACTCTTCGTTAATATTGGAAATTTTCCATTAAACACCACGCTAGACAGGACTGGTGATCCGCATTACTAGAAGGAAATCAGGGACTTTTAACACGCTACCGTTCTAGGGATTTTATCTATGGATATGGCCTCCTATTATTTACTGACAGTATCGAATTTTACAAGAAGCAGTGCGCATAGCATTTTAAACTTAAGTTATGCAGTTATGATCCAATGTTCACATCGACGTAACAAAATGAAATGGTGTATTAGGTAAACAGATTTAAGAACATGCGAGGTTCTTTTACAACTACTAGTTTCAGCCTGTGGGTCCGCCCGGGAGCAAACAGAGATGCTTTCGTGTTGATTTTTTTTAATAACTTCTATGTGACAAACGATCATAAAGTCTAGACTTTAGACCAGTAGCTAGCTACTGGTAAGTGGCTACTGGCTATCTATACCTTGTAGATTGGAACACTCATATTTATGCGTGTTCCAATCTATAAGGCAACTATTTACCTACTTAGTAAGACGTCCTCCTCCTCCGCTGTTACTAAATATCATCTAAATCCGTTCTTGCGGTTTATACACGATAGAATTTCAAACTGTCTTTACAAAATACAAATTTTCACATATGTATATCAGAAAAATAAACTAAATATGAATTACAAACTAAAAAAATACCAAATAACACAAGGGCAAAATGACTATGAACAAAAAAGCAAAATTAACATTATACACTATTGAACTCTTCATTGTTACTCTTCCTTTTATTGTACACTCATCATGTTATTCTTCATTGTACACTCTTAATTGTTTTTTTAAAAGAGGACAAGGAATCTGGGACATTTTTGCTACGTCTGAGTATAATTGTTACCTAACAGTTCCATAATTTGTAATTTTTTAATAACTATGACGACACAAGCTTTACTCTCTTATACTTACTTTACGGATAACGTATTATAATAAAAAATTGTTGTAAATGAAATACGTCGTGGATTTTGATACAAAATGTGTTAATTCGTACATCGTAATTTAATATTTAATTAATGAATAGAATAGAATAGAATAGAATATTTTTTATTCAATATACATTACATGTGTAATTCTTATTGAAAGTCATTTTTTACTTTACCACTGGTTCGAAAAAAACCCTTTGTCCTGGGAAGAACCAGCAAGAAACCCAGCGGGACTTTTTTTAAAATAAATATAAGGCTATTGCCATTAATACAATTAATGATTGTTTTTTTTTTGGTTTGTATTGTGTAAGGAAATTAGACAATGTTTATAATAATAATAGTAATGGATGCGTTTCAATATTCTGCAAAGTTACAGTAAAAGGACCTCAATTATTTATTATTTCCTTCCGACGTCGCGTGACTTCAATGATGTTCTACCTTATCAAAGGTAGTTGTGACATGCAACAGTGTAATTATATCGCAATAATAGCTTGGATGTTGTACTCAACCGTGTGTAACGTGGAGGAATTAATGACAGATCAATGTTAGGTATTTTTCTTACATTTAGGAGTCCGCAGCATCGTTATTGAGGACCTACAATATATTTAATTCTACTTATCTACATTACCCCATTAGCTATTACAGCTATGCTAGTGTCAATACACTGCACGTCAACATCTAGATTATGTGATGATAGTGCGATTAGCCTTTTGGCTTATACAGTTTCATCGGACTCAGGGCTAATGGACTGCAGCACAAATGGGTCAACTCGCACAGAATACAGTGAGAAATAGTAGCATAGTGCTGCTCGTTTCGTATGAGTGACGGGAACCGGTAAAAGGGTATCTTTTACCAGAGCATTTTGACGAGGCATTCCATTAAAATCCTCAGGCGTGACAATTCATTTACTAGCCGACGCGTTTCTTTTTACCATAGAAGAATGAATTGTGGAAGTATCGTTTTAAGTTTGGAAGAGTTATATTGTTTAATTAGGCATGACAAAACATTCATCGAAATTGAATGATATATAACTTTCAAATAAATTCGACCTTCGCGCAAGTCCAAGCAATAAGTTTACAAAGTTTTAGCGCAATCTGATGAACGGTATGGTAGCGCATAATTTTTTTTTATAGGATAGGGTGACAAACGAGCAC